GGGGGGGGGGGTCCGAACCCCCCCCCCTCCCCCCCTTGGGCCGCAATCCCCCCCCTCCCTGCCTTTCGCCACGCCGCCCCCTGACTCCGGAACCCGGCCCCCGCCACCCCTACCCCTAGTCCGCACCCTGACCCAAACCCCTAGTCCTAACCCCAACCACCACCCCCAGCCCCAAAGAGTACTCACTACTCATTACTCACTGCCCACTACTGACTACTCGCTATTCGCTACTCGCTCCTCAGTACCCCCTACTCGCTACTCACTTCTCACTATCCACTACTCACTACCCACCACCCACTACTCGCTACTCACTACTCCCTACTCACTATTCCCTCCTCCCTATTCACTACTAACTACTCACTCCTCACTACCCACTACCCACTACTCACTACTCACTAAGCACTACTCACTACTCCCTACTCGCTACTCACTCATCACTACTCATTATTCACTACCCACTATCCACTACTCACTACTCATTGCCCGCAAATCACTACTCACTACCAACTACTCGCTACTCGCTAATCCCTACTCCCTACACAATACTGACTACACAGTACTCAGTACTCACTACTCGCTACTCCCATACTCGCTACTCAATACTCAGTACTCACTTCCGGCTACTCACTATTCACTCACTACTTACTACTGCCTACTCACTAGTCACCACATCGTCTCTAGTCACTAGTCACATCTCACTCGTCACTCGTCACTAGTCACTACTCACTACCCACTACTCGCGAATCGCTACTCACTACCCACGATTCGCTACCCACTTCTTTCTACTCACCTACTCACTGCTCACTACTCCCTACTCCCTACTCCCTACTCAGTACTCACTGCTCGCTACTCCCTGCGCGCTACTCACTAATAACTACCCACTACTCACTACTGACTGCTCTCTACTCACTACTCACTACTCACTACGCCCTACTCGCTCCTCACTACTCAGTAGTCGCTACTCCCTACTCGCCACTCACTACTCACTACCCTCTGCCACTACCCACTACTCCCTATTTAACACTACTCACCACTCCGTACTCACTACGCACTACGTACTACTCAGTACTCAGTACTCAGTACTCACTACTCACTCCTCACTACTCGCTACTCACTACTCACTACTCACTACTCACTACTCACTACTCCCTACTCACTACTCACTACGCACTACGAACTATGCGTACTCGGGTCCATTCCGCCACACCTCTCACACGTTTTGTGGCCCCATAGGGAGCTCCACCGAAGGCCCCAGTGGCAGGGCCCGCATTTCGGCAGAGCCCTCACACGTTTCGTGGCTCCACAGGGGGCTCAACTGAAGGCCCCAGTGGCAGGGCTCGCATGCGTACTCGGGTCCTCTTTAGCACACCCCTCACACGCTTCGTGGCCCCATAGGGAGCTCCACCGAAGGCCCCAGTCGCAGGGCCCGCATACGTACTCGGTCCATTTCGCCACACCTCTCACACGTTTGTGGCCCCATAAGAAGCTGGCCTTTTGCGCGCTGCGCTGGAGCTATGCCTCGTTCCTCGAATTATCCCTTCTCCTGCTCCTTCAGTCCCCGCCCTTCTGCTGTTAAGCGCCGCATGACGCGTGTGATTTGAACCAGGTCCGATTTTCTCTGGCGAAGTTTTCAGGGACACTGCGAGCGCCCCCAACGATCTCTTGTGCATCGAGCAGTCTTGGTGATACTTTCCACGCGTGTAGGATGGGTTGGGTTCTTCGTGTTCCCCAACAGGCGATATTTGGATGAAAAATAACATATAGCCAAACAGCATTCAAGAAATGCTCAAACATACTTAATCATCGTCCCCTTACTATTTTTGACAATTTCTGAATATTCCTCCTGTAGAGGGACACGCCCGACTCAACGCTGGAGCCCCCTGGCAGCTCCTCCGTCGCGGCCCTTTGGCGCGCTCCGCGCGCCAGGGAGGGGGGCGGGGGCAGCGCCGGTCCCCGAAATCCGCGCGGAACTCCGAACATTCACAGACATCCGACGTCTCGATTTTCTCGAGACGCACGTGCCCCCGACCTCCCGACCACTTCCTCTGGACCGGTTTTGCATCCCGGAATCGTTTCTTGACGGTCCCGAGGCCCGGCGAGGGGGCCCCGAGAGGCCGAAGACGACGAAGAGCCTCCGTCCCGAGTTTTTCGAGACGCCCGATGTTTGGGTTTTTGTGCTTGTGCTGTTTTCTTCCTCCTCGAGGGCCAGGGGTAACTCTCGTCCCCGACGCAGCCCGCGTCGTGGAAGCGCTGGCTCCCGCACGCCGCACAGGCCCGGAGGAAGCCCGCGTCATACTCGTCGCGGAGGCCCTGGACGAAGGAGGCCGACGCCTGCGGCTCGTTTCGATTCCTCCGATTCGATTCGGTTTCCTTCGACGGCCTCCGATTCCGATTCGATTCGACTTGGGATGCCGACTTGGACTCCGATTCCTTCATGGAGGCCTCCTGGCCTGCCGATGTCCGCCGACTCGACCGCTCCCGACTCGGCTGCCGATTCCCGTCGCGATCCGATCCGCTCCGATCGCCGATCCGACCTCTCGATTCGACTCTGGGGGCTCCTGGGTGGCGTTGCAGCTCAGGAGGATGCTGGCGAAGTGCTCGCACTGCACCTCCATGTCGAAGTGGTTGTCGGTCGGAGTCAGCGCCACCCCGCGCAGCTGGCCAGACTCCAGGACGGTGCGAGCCATCGAGACCATACCTAGAAGCCTCCTGGATGGGGTCGGAAAGGATGGGGTCGGAGGATCGCGCCGCATCGCCGTTACATCGGCGATGCATCGGCGATGCATCGGCGACGCATCGACGTGAAGCAAATCGGGCTGCACATCGAGCCGTATCGACGATGCATCGGCGATGCGGCGCGATCCTCCGACCCCATTTGCTCCGACACCATCTAGGAGGCTTAGAATTAGGGTGCCCTCCCCGACGTGGTGATCTTTTCACAACATCGATCCCCAGAGGTCTGGATCCCTTTCCCGGGACCGGCTTCTCGTCCTGAATCGTATTTTGACTGTCCCGAGGCCCAGTGAGGGCACCGGAAGACCGAAAATAGCAAGAAAAACCTCCCGTCGCGATTTTTTCACAGCGCCAGGGGGCCTAGCCTAGGAACCAATCGAGACGCCCAGATATCAGGGGAATACCGGTGGTGACGGCCTCCAGGGAGCTGTTCAGCCGGGCCCGCTCCCCCTGGAGGTCGTCCCCGCCCGAGGCCGCCAGCAGCACGGTGACGAGGCCGAGTGCCCCGCAGTAGGCGTAGCTGTCCACCCAGACGCGGCTGCCAGCCCGGGCGCCCCCCCCCTCGGAGGAGGAGAAGTGGCGGAGGAGGAGGGGGAGGAGGAGGCGGAGGAGGAGGAGGAGGAGGAGGAGGAGGAGGGGGAGGAGGAGGAGGCAGAAGAGGAGGAGGAGGAGGAGGCGGAGGAGGAGGAGGAGGGGAAGGAGTGAAGAACGAGGGAGTGGCCGGGCGGGGGACGAGGAGGAGGCGGAGGAGGAGGAGGAGTCCGAGAGGATTGTCGTCTCGACCCCGCTCTCGAACGTGGACTTGGCACTGCCGTTGGAGACCATCGCCGTGAGGCCCCCGCTGTCGACTCGGATGCTCAGCGCCGCGGTGTGCGGCGTGCAGCAGGGGTCCGCGTAGAGCGTGCGGATCTGGGAGCAGGCCAGGGGCAACGCGTGCGCCTCCGCAGCCCGCCGCAGGTCCCCGCACGTGAGCGCGGCCGCTGCCGCGTCGGCCTCGCGCGCGACGGCGGCGGGGTCGATACCCTCACGCGGGCACACGCTGCACTCGTCGGGGCCATCGCACATCACGCCGCCGGCGGCCTCGCAGTCCGACGGGCCCATCGAGCAGTTGCAGAGCCCGCCGAGCGAGCATCCCCCCTCGCAGGCGCTGCACGGGCCCGTGACGGGGAGCTCGCACGCGGCGACAGCGGAAGCACTGCTGCACCACACCAGCCCGTGCATGGTGCACAGCTTCGCGGACGTGCCGCACCTGCAGGTCGTCCTCCCATTGCAGCCATCCACGCACAGCTCGCTGCCAACCACCCCCGTCGCGAAAGACTGGTAGCTGGCATCGCTGGCATCGAGGTCACATGTAGAGCCCTTGAACAGAAAGCAGCAGAAGCCGTTCGATATCATGCTGCAGCCTGGGATCTGCGCGCAGACCTGCTGGCACTCCACGTCGGTCCGGCCGTCGCACATGCGCCAGCCGAGGCCACGCTGCAGACCCCAGCTAGGGCCGAGCTCGTCCGAAAGCTGCCAGTCGGAGTCGTGATTGCGACAAACACCTGTGCCCAAGGCAGACCAAACGGCTTCTGTGCGTGGGTTGCTCCCCCCGCCACAGGAGCAGCAGTGCACACTGGCCGTGAAGTCCTCGTCGTCGTAGACGGCGGCGGAAAGCAAGCAGTACTCTGGGAACTCGCTGTAGGCGTTACATCCTACCTCGCCGAGCCCCTCGCCCGCGTTGAAGGTAGCAGACCCCGCTGTGTCCTCGCAGTCCACCTGACAGCTCTGGTTTCTCGTGGTGTTGCCGCACAAGCCACATGTTCCATCGATGCCTTCGAAGCAGTACTCACACTCGTCGCAAGTGGCACATGTTCCATCCAGCTGGCAGAAAGAGCCCTCAGAGCACGCGGAATGGGCGGAGCAGTACTCGACGCAGCTGCAGCCAGAGCAGTCGCAGAAGTAGGGGGCGCCCTCCAAGGCCCAGCACCCGTAGGCGGCCGAATCTCTCATCGACGTGACGATGTCGTCGCAGGTCTGCCCGTAGCAGGAGCCCGGGCAGGGGCCAGGCGTCGGCGCAGGCGTCGTTGGCATGAAACACAAACACTGGTCGGTCGCATCGCAACTGCCCGTGTTGCCTCCAAGGCCGCGCTAACGGCGTGCTTGGCTAACGGTGCAGTTCGGAACCTGGCTTTTGTGATGCCAATCTCACGAAGAACAGCACGCCGGAAATCACGAAGCGCCGCTTCCTACGACTCGAATGTGCGAACGTGCCGAACGACAACGACACGGCGAGTTGTAGGCAAACACGAACCGCGCGCTCCTGCCATTGGTTTGGCCACGAACCGCGCTCTCCTACAATCGGATTTCCTACGTCGCCATTTGCTAACACACCATTAGCGCGGCTACGGTGCCTCCCCGGACCTCTCCTGGGGTGCGTTCTGACGAGAATCTCGAGGGCCTCCCAGGAGGCCTAAGAAGAGGAAAATGGGTGGAGGGTAGAAGTAGGGGTACCTTCCCAGACATCCGGCTGCCCCAATTTCTTCGATGCGTGGGCCCCGGAGGTCTGGACCACTCCCCGGGGACCGGTTTTTCGTCCCGAATCGTTTTTCGACGCTCCCGAGGCCAGGCGAGGGCCCCCGAGGCCGAGAACTGTCAAAAACTGCCTGCTCCAATTTTTGTTGGAGCGTCGGATCTCAGGGTTTTCCTCCACTGATTGCCTCCCCTGGAGTTGATCTTCAGCGTCCCGCCCTCCAGGTAGCAGCCCGGAGGGTCGGTCTTTGCGCCGCTCTGCCCGTCGTCCCGCGGCGTCGTGTTCGTCAGCTGGAGCCCCAGCTGCACGGCGGCGGCCTGGCATAGAGCGCCCTCGTGTGAAGGGTAAGCATATGTTGTATGTGCGTGCGCACATACGTATGTTCGCATATCTATATGGAGGCGTGCCGTGCCGTATCTATATGGAGGAGTGCCATCTCTCTGGGGCACCCCGGCGGGGGCTACCCCGGACGCATCTCCCCCTGGGCGCCCTGGGCCCGTGGTCGCGCTTGCCTCAGGCCGCCCCGACGCGGGAGAGAGAAACCAAATCGAGGAGGCTCGAAAAGTCAATCGCAAGCATAATCACTTTCACCCGTGCTGGCCATGATGGCCGCCCCACGATGTGGCCACTACAGCGGGAACAAATGGCACGCCTCCATATGGGCGATTTCGGAAACCCTGGACCCAAAAACGTTGTCATCTCTTGGGGATGTATCTTTCACTTCCGCCGCCTTCCGCCGCCCTTCCGCCAGCTTCCGCCGGCGGAGGCGGCCTCGTTTTACTTCCGCCGACCTTCCGTCGCCTTCCGCGGCGGAAGAAATGATAACTCCTTCGATCTTCGAAGGCAAGGACTTTTTTGGAACGCCTCACACACACATATATATATATATATGTGTGTATGTGTATATATATAAAGAAATGTATTCACGCATGCGTACACACATATACCATATACAAAAGTCCGCCAACCCCCTTGTGAGCCAACAGGATGCGAGGCGTATGTGTTCCTGTTCCCTGCAGCAGCGTCAGCTCCCATTTGTAATGTTGTTTTGTATGTTTTCCGATTTCTAGTTTAAATGGTGTGTTGATGGACATCCGCTCGAGGAGGGAACCCGAAAAATGACTCCCAAACCATCCCAAAGTCACGTCCTCAGAATTCACAGTGGGGCCCCAGGACACGTAGAGAACTGCAAACTCGCGCCCCTGAGGGCACAAGCCCTGATAGATTACTGTGGGTCTGCGCTCCCAGGGTCGCAGCCCCGTGTAAATTGCAGCGCGCGTTCGAGTTCCCGGAACCACAGCCCCTGTTATGTTGCTCCCATCGTTCTTGAGGACCACATCCCACACATAATTTCGAGAACCCATGAAAGTATCGAAAGAGTGTCGAACGAGCATCGCCTCCCAGGGCCCGACACGTGCAAACCCTCCAGTTTTGGTACTTTCGTGGCGCTCGAAATTCTTTCTGGTGAACAAGGCTGTAAAAGGTTGGAACATCATAATACTATAGATTCACGCCTCCGATGCTACAAACCATTGCACAGTACAACGCGTCCTCGCGCACCCGAGGCCCAGACTCCATTTGCAACTTGCAACAAGTTTGCGTGCTCGAGGCCCCAAACGCATCCCAGGGACGCCACCCTGAAGCGGCACACTCTTTTTTCTCCAGAGCAAAGAATCTTTTTTACTGCACCGACCTTGCAGACGTGCTCCAGCGGATTTTCTCGTGGATTATTGTCAACGCAAAACCCCGAAACAGCGAACGAAAAACGAAATTAATGTCACGTGTTTTTCTTAGTCTTCGTTCCTGGCCAAAAACAACCCGCACGAACTTCATTCCGAAATCAGGAACGAAATTCTCCAGGACACTCCGGGCCCATACTATTGCTTTCCGGACGAAATCCGCTCTGCGATGTTGGCGTCATTATCTTCTTCTTCTTTTATGGGATGACTGTTCGGGGAGCAACTCAGCTATGGGCCCTTGGAGCAACCATAATAGATTTAGGCCGGGTCTGTCCCCCTACAAGGGGATTTTGGAATCCATACACACCGAAAAATATGCGAAACAGGCTCGACAATAACAATGGTCCCCGGACTATTTTTTGATCATTTCTGAGAATTCCTCCCGTAGAGGGACAGGCCCGACGTAACAACCGGGAGCGGCCAAGAGGGGGGCGTCCAAGAGGGGGGGTGCAAATCATGGCCTGCGGCATGTGCGCGGCCCAGGGGGGGGGGGGGCCGGGGACGTATTCAAACA